TATTTACTTTTAAAAAGATATTCACAGAAAGATTCAGTCAGTCATGTATCATAGACCATAAACCCAAAAGAAATCAGGTAGAAATTCAAAGAAAACTACTTCTGAAAAAAACAACAGGTTTTATTAAAAATTCAAATTCTAACCAACATTTCTCCACTTCTCTTTTTTTTTTTTTTTTTTTTTTTTTTGAGACGGAGTCTTGCTCTGTCGCCCAGGCTGGAGTGCAGTGGCGCGATCTCGGCTCACTGCAAGATCTGCCTCCCGGGTTCAGGCCATTCTCCTGCCTCAGCCTCCTGAGTAGCTGGGACTACAGGCGACTGCAACCAGGCCCAGCTAATTTTTTTGTATTTTTAGTAGAGACGGGGTTTCACCATGTTAGACAGGATGGTCTCGATCTCCTCACCTCGTGATCCGCCCGCCTCAGCCTCCCAAAATGCTGGGATTACTGGCGTGAGCCACCACACCCGGCTCTCCACTTCTTAATTTTCTTTTATTGATAACAAACTGATACCAAGTGACAGGACACTATGACATGTGGAAATGGCAAGGGTAGCATTTTTAGACTAAAATATTTCCAACTGCTTTATAAGTCTGGATTAAATAATTTCAATAAAATCAACAGAACTGGGAAAAGAAGCCACAAACCTATTTCTCAGCTATTAATCTCTTCACAGGCCAACCCGAGACATACTGGTAGGATTTTTACCTTCATGTTTTTTCACCATATGAAAAATGTAAAGACAGCAAAAGAAAGCTCTCAAATAGAACAGGAAGAAAATAAGGTATGATTGAAAAAGAATCATCACTGATTTACTGTTATTTCAATGATCTTTAATATAGAAAGTGGGTGCTGTGAGGCTACCTCTATCCTAAAGTAAGTCTTGCAAGAAAACGTGAAAATAAACGTGAACTCTAAACTGAGCTAACTATTCAGATCCATATCTGGACAATTAAAGTTCAAGTTATTATCTTAGAACAATCTGTATGGCATTTATCTTTCATGTTAGAAAGTTCAGAAAATAAATGTTCATGTTTGCTTCATATGCACAAACACTGGGATAAATAAGAAACTGGTTACCTACAGAGATAGGGGTATGAACTACACGAAATGACACAGCCAGAAGCTGAGATTTCAGTTATGTAATTTAAAATTTTGAACTGTGAAAATACCATTCAAAAGTAAAATAAAAGGGTATAATATTTTACTGAAATAATATTTACAATTTTTCTCAAAGCTCTCCTACCCTTTATCATACTTTAGAAAAAACTGATTTTCTGCTACCCATAAAAGATTTTGGGAAATAGATTCCTCTGATCAGAGTGCAGGCCAGAGTAATTTAAGAAGGACTTTCTAAAGAATGTCTAACTCATTGTATTTCATCCTTAAACATTATTATAGAAACTCAAGAGTAAATTTTTCTCCTTAATAGAAGTTCTTTAAAAGGCAGTGCAAAGTTTCACAACTGCATGCAGTAAGTTTCAACTTACATCTAATTACTCCATATTTAATATGGCTTTATTAAATCAATGATCTTATTCAAATCACTTCTTCTCAGGCCAAATAAAACAAATTTAATTATGGGAAATATTTTATCAAGTTTGACTGCTAAGTTTAAACTCTATACTTCAGCTCTATAGAGAAAGGGCTGCTCTAAGGAAGTTACCCAAGTTACACAAGTTTATTTATTGTTTTCTATCATAGATAAACATAGAGAAACATCAGAGACCATGATAGTGAGAATGACTGACACGCCAGAAATTTTTTTTTTTTTTTTTGAGACAGAGTCTCGCTCTGTCGCCCAGGCTGTAGTGCAGTGGCGCAATCTTGGCTCACTGCAAGCTTTGCCTCCCGGGTTCACGCCATTCTCCTGCCTCAGCCCCCCACGTAACTGGGACTACAGGCGCCTGCCACCACGCCCGGCTAATTTTTTGTATTTTTAGTAGAGCCGGGGTTTCACCATGTTAGCCAGGATGGTCTCGATCTCCTGACCTCGTGATCCACTACGCCGGGCCAGACACACCAGAAATTTAGGGAGGCAGTTGGTGTGGGAAAACAGAATGGGTTTGCATGTTAGATCTACGTTTGACTCTACTTCCTGTTGATCTTGTCCAAATGACTTAACTACTCTGAAACTCAGTTTCTTTTAATGATAAAAAACAAGCTGATACTATCTAACTCAAGAATCATTTAAAAGAATTAAATGAAATATCCACATTGACAGGTTCTAGACTATTTTGGAAGGCTCACGCAGGAGACATGGGGCAGGAAGAAAAAGGTTTCCTTAATGAGTATTTTTGAAGTCACATGAAAGGTAACTACAAAGGCAGAAAATGATCTAAAATGGCAAGGAAAACTGAGAACTTTTCTGTGAGTCACCTAACTGAGATCCAGTCAAAGAGAATAGGTGAGCATCTTTCTTAAAATGGAATGCTTTCTACTTCACCTAAATCTTAATTTACTTCCTTTTTTCTTAACTCAGATGCGAACATCTATCAGCCTACAACAATCAGTTGAATATTCTAAGGAAAATATCCAGTGTAAGTAAGCATGACTATCAACCTTAACATAAAAAGCATCTAAAGTGGATATCAGGCTTAAAATTACTGCAAACATTTCTATCTTCTTTCAGACATTTTCCAAGACAAATTAAAGAAATTTAAAGATGGTCACATCAGTACTTCCTTTTGTTAAAATAGGAAATTGTTTTTAAAACTCAGATCTTAAGACTATTCTTCTGGAAAATTATATATTGGCAAAAATACTTGTTACTAAAGTCAGAAATATCTGAAATTGCTGCTGTTCAACTGTGTGTGTGTGTGTGTGTGTATATATATATATATCTATGAAAAACCAATTTCTTTTTGAGTGTTCAATGTGTGCCAGAAATATCACAAACTGGGGTATGGCAGGTCCCCGGCTCTCAGGTAACCTATGAATTTAGCTGAAAAGACAAATACAGAGGCACGATGCATTTGCTGAATTTCTTTCTTTTTCTTTTTTTTTTTAAAGACAGAGTCTCGCTCTGTTGCCCAGGCTGGAGTGCAGTGGCACAACCTCAGCTCACTGCAGCCTCTGCCTCCTGGGTTCAAGTGATTCTCTTGCATCGGCCTCCCAAGTAGCTGGGACCACAGGCATACACCACCATGCCCGGTTTATTTTTGCATTTTTAGTAGAGATGAGGTTTCACCATGTTGGCTACACTGATCCATTTGCTGAGTTTGTTTGTTTTTAAACTCACTAACATAACTATTCAGTTTCTCCTTCATATTTAAGTGCCTTCCAGACTGAAATAATTAAAGATATTTTTTCAGTTCATTACTCTGATAGAACAACAAATTTGATAGACAACAAATTTCTTTAGATTTGGTCTAGATCATCCATTACAGGATCCACAAATCACATTAAAATGAGCAATAAATAAAAGTGAGCAATAAAATAAAAGTAAAAAGAATGAAAAAAAAAAGGCTACATCTTTGAGTGTTTTTATGTAATGTACCTAAAGAGAGGATGCATCCCATTCCTTCAAAAGTGTACTTTTTGAAAATCAGTCATATACATAGTATAGAGTGAAGCGGGTAAAGTTTGAAAAATAATTGGAAGAGAAGTATTGGCAGCAAAATACCCATAATACAGTTAATTCTAATTAGAAAATTATCACCTGGCTCTCAACTATCAGACACTCTTGTGCAGGAATGTCACTGCCCTGATAATCTACCCATCTGCTTTTTAAATGTACTATATATATGAAAATACAAGCACTGGAGGACATCGAAAGAGCAACAAAAATGATTCTTTTTATTGTGTAAGAGAAATGTGGAGGCCTTCAAACACACACACACACACACATACACACACACACACACACACACCATGGAGCAGGGAGGAAGGGAGCAAGTTAAATATATTTTAATACTCCTAAAAATCCCATTAGGCTTAAAGGTCCCAAGAAAAGCTATGCATATTTGACACAGGGATGGAAGCAAGTACTTTGCTCATTTCTGCATCAGTGCACACACTCTACACTGGGGTCACCTGTGAGGGAAGTAAAGGTTTTCCCTTAAGATCACAACACATTTCAGGATTTAACAATTCTGATTAACAGCCAAGGCAGTGAAGAATGCCTACTGATTTACTATTTAAGCTTCTGTATTCAGGGAATGAACTGTGACACAACTGAGTCACCAACTGCTACATTTTTTAAATGGACTTTTTGAAGAACACAATGGGTTTTTTAATAAAGCTCAACTCTTACCACACCTCTTTCCACATTAGTTTCTGCACTAAACTCAATGACTGGGTCAAGGAGGGTTGGCTACAGGCAGAGTGGATTTCATAATTCACCATCCCCTCTTAAATGAGTGCCTCACCTTTTTACTATTTTACGATATTCTCAGGTTAAAAAAAAACTTTTCCCGACAAGCTGCACACATGGAACCTGCTTTTCAGTCAGAACTCTGTAAAAACTGCTTTGTGAGCCTCTCTGTAACTGCTTTTCATATACTTCATTAAGTATTCAAGTTTCTCAACACAACCACTCATTTTAACATTTTAATGCAAGTCTTGCTTGTTGAACTATTCTGTGGTAGTTTTTCTCAGTTTAATAGTGAAATGTATGAAAGCACTGATTCCACAGAGAAGGCTTTCTCCTCTTGGTCCACAAGCTGCTAGATTAATTGCTAATTAAATACACACTTTCAACCCACAATTATCTCTTTCACACACAAGCTTCTGGAAATTCTATCTCAGGAGCAAACTACGACTTTGCCCAAATTCAGATGACAGCTGCAGTTTTAGGGGAACACAATCTGGGGCTGCCAGTGCAGTCAGCCTTCAAGCTTTGTGCCTGTCAGATAAAAGAACAAAAGGCAGTGCTTCCTCTCCCAGCCCCTCCTTAGCGCTGGAGGACGGCAGGCTTGACAGAACAGTTCCAGAGAAAAAGGAACCATGCTGAAGCAAGTGAGAGTTTCCCCTTCACAAACATACAAAACTACCAACCCACCTTGGATAGCTGCCTCCTGAGGCTAAAGCGCTGAACCATGATCACCCAGAGGATCTTCAGACAAAGCAATCCACGAAGGGTTTTTTAAATAACAGCTTCTTGGGAAAGTCGGTGGCAGAACATTTTGAAGACTGCCAGAGAAGTGCAAAGAATTTCCCTGGGAGTCTTAGCAAACTTGGAAAGCCTTCATTGTTCTATCAAGAGATACTGCAAAACCTACGTGGGAGAGGGCAGGGCGGGTGGGGCAGTAATCCTGAAGCTGCTGCGCCCAGTGCCAAGCTCTTCCAGCACTTCCTGTGAGTCAGCTGTGAGGGGTCCAGACACAAGGACCACCCCTTCCCTTTCCACCAGACCAGTAGGCGAGGATGCCGCTGTGGTGTTACCTGAAACTCCAGGGGAGAGACCTGGTGTTCCGGTCCCTGTGGGAGGAAGAGTGGTACGCTGGGGTCAGACAGCATCTGCTCCAAGTAGGAGATGGGCAACTGCACCAATTCCTCCCCTCTTCAGCCCTCTGGGCAGCGGAGACTGTCCACTGCAGATAGCAACACCCCCTTCTCTACCTCCACCTTAGGTAATCCTTTAAGGTGAAGCAGTGTGAAAAAAAGGAGGTGGTGAAAAGCAAGCCCCTGACTGTACCAGCTCCCTGCTCAAGAAGGAAACTCCTCCCAGCTGGGCTCGGCAGCTGTGCGGCTTTGTCTAGCATAATTGGCCAAGCCTTTCCTCTTATTCACAGGGAGGGGTCCTGCCTCAGGAAGGAATGTCAGGTGCAGAGAGGCATACTCCGACGGTGACTTCAACTTGTGCCAAAGTTAAACACATTAAAGTGGCCTCCTGAGGTAATTGCCTTCTCTTGTTGGAATAATTTTTAAAAATCTACACACAAAACAAACAAAAGGAACAGCTCAGAGTGAATCAATGCAGGTAAAGAGGTATGAAAAATAACCATAAGAGCAGTTCCAAAGATAAAAATATTCCCATCTTTGACACTCTTCCTGTTTGGGTCTGTTTCCAGACAACCACTGTGAGGATAACATTTCAGTTAATGAAACTTTCCAGTCTATGTGCTCCTCTTGGAATTGTTCATTACTTCTGAATGAATTTTGTACTAATTAGGGCAGAACTCATTCATATATATATATATATATATACACACACACACACACACACACACATTTTTTTTCCCCGTTCCAGTGTCTCTCAACTTCCTGTGAGCAAAATTACATCACATGCTACATTTAAAGCCTTTGTTGGAATGAACCTACTATGTGCAGTCACTATGTTAGGCAGTTCACATTTACTATCCTATTGATTTCTCAAAACAACACTATAAAATTTGTATTACAACAGTCCTCCCTTACCTACAGTTTGTTCCCACAGTCAACTGCAATCCAAAAATATTTAAATGGAAAATTCCAGAAACAAACCATTCAGAAGTTTAAAATTGCATGCCGTTCTGAGTAGCATGACAAAACCTCATGCCATCCTACCTGGGATGTGAATCATCCCTTTGTCCAGCATATCCAGCCCTGGCTCCCACCCGCTAGTCACTGAGTAAGTGATTTGGTCATCAGATCCACTGTTGCAGTATGGTAGTGTTGCATTCAAATAACCCTTATTTTACTTAATAATGGTCACAAAGTACAAGAGGAGTGGTGCTGGCCTATTGTTGTAATTGTCCTATTTTATTGTTACTGTTAACATCTTACTATGCCTAATTTCTGAGTTAAACTTTATCACAGATATATGTGTATAGGAAAAAACACACTACAGTCGTAACCCACATGACATTTCAGTTAACAATGAGCCACATATATGACAGTGGTCCCATAAGATTATAATACTGCATTTTTATTGTAACTTTTCTATGTTTAGATACACTAATACATACCATTGTATTAAAACTGCCTAAAGTATTTAGTACAGTAACACGCTATATAGGTTTGCAGCCTAGGAGCAACAGGCTATACCATATAGCCAAGGTGTGTAGGAGGTTATGCTATCTAGGTTTATGTAAGGACACTCTATGATGTTCTCACAATGATGAAATCACCTAACAACGCATTTCTCAGAAGGTATCCCATTGTTAAATGACATGTGACTGTATATATAGGGTTCAGTACTATCTTCAGTTTCAGGCATCCACTGAGGTCATGGAACATATCTCCTGTAGATAAGGGGAGACTACTGTAGTATCCCAACTCTTCAAATAAGTAGTAATTTCTCTCTTTAAAACCTCAATATGGCCAGGTTCAGTGGCTCATACCTGTAATCCCAATGCTTTGGGAGGCTAAGGCAGGAGAATCACTTGACACCAGGAGTTCAAGACCAGCCTGGGCAACAAAGCTAGACCCTGTCTCTACAAAAAATAAGAATTAAAAAATTAGCTAGGTTTGGTAACATGTGCTACCTAACTACTACTCAGGAGTCCTAACTACTTGGGAGACTGAGGTGGCAGGATTGCCTGAGTCCAGGAATTTGATGGTGTGATGAGGCATGATGCTCCAGCCTGGGCAAGAGAGTGAGACCCTATCTCTAAAAATAAAAAATAAACAAAACGTCAATATTATTATGAGGAAATCATGTAGTGTTTGTAATTTTTTTCTTCAGGTAAGAAACACAAAAATGAATTTGAAAAGACAGGTTTCTATGCAATGATTATTCTCAACTATGCTCATATCATACACTACCAGTATCCAGTTATCACCAAATAGGATCTAAAATTTTACCTAAAAAATAACACACATATTTCATAGTATCTCGGGAAGAGCAGAGAAGATGCATCAAATTCAGACAAATAATAGGCTGCCAAGTCTCCAAAAAAAAAAATTACCTAACCAAAATGTATATATAAAACATTCAGGCTGGGCATGTGTGCTTATACCTGTAATCCCTGCACTTTGGGAGGCCAAGGCAGGCAGACTGCTTGAGCTCAGAAATTCGAGACTAGCCTGGGCAACGTGGTGAAAACACCGTCTCTACAAAAAACACACAAAAAATTAGCTGGGCATGGTGGCACAGGCTTGTCGTCCCAGCTACTTGGGGGGCTAGAGTGGGAGGATCACTTGAGTCTGGGAGGCGGAAGCTGCAGTGAGCCAAGATCATGCCACTATACTCCAGCCTGGGTGAGAGAGAGACCCTGTCTCAAAACAAAACAAACAAACAAACCTTTTACTCTTAAAAACCTTAAGCAGAAACAAGGTTGAACATATCTAAGTGTACTTTTTGTAAACTTCCAAAGCTAAAAAGCTTTTAGATGAACAACTATAACCAAAAGTAAAGACTCCTTCATACCTAAGGTTCAGAGAACACAATATAACCTAATATTTAAGCTAACTCATTAAAATTTAATTCCAAGTGGAAAGTAGGTTGACAGAGCACCCGAGTCGTGTGCCTTTTTGTGTTTTTTTTTTTGTTTCTTTTTATTGAGAGGAAGTCTCGCTCTTGTCCCCCAGGCTGGAGTGCAACGGCACGGTCTCGGCTCAATGCCTCCCAGGTTCAGGCAATTCTCCTGCCTCAGCCTCCCAAGTAGCTGGGATTACAGGCGCCTGCCACCATGCCCGGCTACTTTTTGTATTTTTAGTAGAAACGGGGTTTCACCATGTTGGCCAGGCTGGTCTCGAACTCCTGACCTCAGGTGATCCACCCGCTCGGCCTCCCAAAGTGCTGAGATTACAGGCATGAGCCACGGTGCCCAGCTGCCTTTTTCGTTTTGGAATGGTGAGAGTACCAGTACCTCCATTTTTCTCATACAGATAATGAAACAGTACTCTGAAATCATCTCCTAGGAATGTAGGAAGGATTCATGAAATACTGATGTGGAAATAATGAAGTGCCTTACAGAAAGACATACTGTCTTAAACACACAGTGTTTCTGATTGATATAAGCAACTAGAATCTCAAATCATTGCTAAAAGATTCTTTCTATCCAAAAAAAGAAAAAAAAAAAAAAAAAAAAGGAAAGGAGACGGGTGTGAAACAAGTGGTAAGTGAAACTTAATTTCCCTTACTAACAAGGCAACCTGCTTTCAGCCTAAAAAAGTGTTCAGAATGATTTTTACTAATGAAATGGAAACATAAATAGTAACAAAATTCAGTCATTTCTCCTTTCTAAATTGCAGATTTGTTAACTATTTTCCTACAAACTGCCCAAATGGGAATAGTTCATTAACAAATAACCAACTAATAATCTCTAAGAAATTATTATTCTTTTAGTTACTGTCTACATTCAAAGCAAGGAGAGAAGAAATCTATTTTCAAAATGTTTAGTCAACAATGCTGCCAGTTTTAGGGTTTTCTGTGGCATTTTAGGCCCCTTAAATGAGATTGCTTTGGCAATCCCACAATAAATAACAATACAGATAGCATATCTACCTGAAGAACAGACTTAAGTAATTTATGTAGTTATTTACAAAAGCCCATGCAACTGTCAATATAAATAACCATGAAAGTAGAGGAATTTGTTAAGTAGTAAGAAGTTAAAAGATGTTGGTGATTAAAAATTTGAGTACCATATACAATTCCTTAACTTGTAAGGGTTGATTTAAAGGGCAGCTAACATTGCCAAATAAGGTCTTTATTTGGATGACTTGGACATGGCTCTTTGAAACATGCTAAATTAAGCCTGATTCCTTCTATATTAGCAATGTTTTGGGCTCCACCTTTCTTTCTCCTAAAAAAATTCATATCATGCATTACCTGCAGTAAATGCATGAAAGGAGGAACGGACAGTAAGAAGAGAGGAGCGGAAAGTAGTTTTAAGAGGCTATTTGGCCCAGTTCCTTGTATCTAACTAACCGATCATACAAAGTTGTTGCCTATTCTGTAATGGTATTTTTCAGAGATGGCATTTCCATATGCACCTCTATCCTCTCTTAGCTAAGTTACGATCAAGATGCTAATTTTCCTAACAAGTCCTTACTTTAAAAACATTTTCTGGGGCCGGGCACGGTGGCTCACGCCTGTAGTCCCAGTACTTTGGGAGGCCAAGGTGGGCGGATCACGAGATCAGGAGATCAAGACCATCCTGGCTGACACGGTGAAACCTCATCTCTACTAAAAATACAAAAAAATTGGCCGCGTGTGGTGGCAGGCGCCTGTGGTCCCAGCTGCTCAGGAGGCTGAGGCAGAATGGCATGAACCCAGGAGGCAGAGCTTACAGTGAGCCAAGATCATGCCACTGCACTCCAGCCTGAGCAACAGAGTGAGACTCTGTCTCAGAAACATTTTCTGTTAGATTCCCTCTGAAGATGTCTTGAAATTTCATACCTACACACAAATTTATTTTGTGTATATGTGTATATATGTACATAAACACTCACTGTTTTATATATATATAGACACACTCATAGCCATAAACATATAAAGATATAAAACATCTATGTCCATATCAAGATATAGAATATTTGCTGCCCCAGAAGGTTCCTAATGTCTTCATTGCTGTTTTTCTAACAGGTAACTGTAACTGACTTCTATCATAAATTAACTTTGCTTGTTCTCATATTTCATATAAAGGAATCTTGTGTGTGGTTTCTTTTGCTCATCATGTCTTTGCAATCTATCCACCATGTAGTTGTGTGTAACAGTTCTTTATTATTACTTTATAGTATATGCCAGTGTATGAATAATACCACAATTTATCCATTCTACTTTTGGATCTATGCCGTATCTATTTTTTCTCTATTATAAATCAGGTATAAAATTACCACAGATTGTTTTGGAGCTCATATATGCATATTTTTCTTGGGTACATATAGCCTAGAAAAGGAAATTCTAAAGGACAGAGTAAGATTTACGTTTTAGCAGGTATTATTAAATGGTTTTCACTGTGGTTGTACTAATTTACACTCTTATAATAACATATGAAAGCTCCAGTTGCTCTACATCCTTGTCAACCTTGATTTTTTTTTAATTGGATCCATTCTGGTAGAAGTGTCATGGCATCTCATTGTGGTCTTGTAAATCTTTCTAGGAAGTTACTTAGAACTTTAATTTTTAATCTTTAGACAAAGCTATTTTTAAAATCTCTTGAAGTTCCTTCTGTCGCTTTTCTCATTTTCTATATATCCCTCCATCTGAGTATTCATATAACACCACTGTCCTTGACAATTTAACATTGTTCTCCAAGTAGTCATATTTTGCTATTTAACCTTTCAGCATGGTTCTCTAAATATACAACCATTCATTCCATTAGTACTTATTATGTGCCTACTAAGCATCAGACAACACGATTATTTTTCACTATGTTACAAAGAACACGTAGCAAATTATATAAATGAAATCAAATCCTTAAAACAGTTACAAGGTATTTCATGTGCTGATATATTTTCCCTCTCCACACATCTCACACTACTTTCTTTTTCATTTTATTTTATTTTTTTTGAGACGGAGTCTCACTCTGTTGCCCAGGGCTGGAGTACAGTGGTGTGATCTCGGCTCACTGCAAGCTCCGCCTCCCGGGTTCAGCCATTCTCCTGCCTCAGCCTCCCAAGCAGCTGGGACTACAGGTGCCCGCCACCACGCCCGGCTGATTTTTTTTATTTTTAGTAGAGACGGGGTTTTACCGTGTTACCCAGGATGGTCTCAATCTTCTGATCTTGTGATCTGCCTGCCACGGCCTCCCAAAGTGCTAGGATTACAGGTGTGAGCCATCACACCTGGCCTAGTTCGGTTTTTTTAATCCAACCAGTATCATACCACCCATATTATCTATGACCTCCCTTTTTAAAAAATTCAACAATTTACTGAGAAATTTTTGTCAGTACATATATCCTACATTATTTTAACTGCCACACAGTACTCTACAGTATAAACAGAACAATTTACTTAGCCATTCTCTTGATGACCATTTAGGTTACTTCCACATTTCTGCCAGTACACGCCTGTTTTTTTGTTTTGTTTTGTTTTTGTTTTCCTGAGACGGAGTCTTGCTCTGTCACCCAGACTGGAATGCAGTGGCACAATCTCAGGTCACTGCAACCTCTGCCTCCCAGGTTAAAGCAATTCTGCTTCAGCCTCCCGAGTAGCTGGGATTACAGGCACGTACCACACCTGGCTAATTTTTGTATTTTGTTGGCCAGGCTGGTCTCAAACTCCTGACCTTGTGATCCACCCACCTTGGCCTCCCAAGGTGCTGGGATTACAGGCGTGAACCACCGCACTCGGCCCATGCCTGTTTTTGCATTTGTGAGTTGTTCTCCAGGGTAGATGCTAACATATGATCCTACATTCAAGATTCAACCCAAATTCATTTTCTCTAGAAGCAAGATCAGTCCACTTCATGTCGTTTCTACGTCTTAACTCACAGCAGTTTCTGGACAATTGATCATATACAGTGACAGTTCTTGTACATTTATATGTTCTATATGGCTCCCGTACCAAATAGCGTTAGTGTTTCCAGCATCAGAGCTTTCAAGTTAAAAATTAGCACTTTGAAGGACTGCATCTTATACTTTATGTATCTCAACTGTACACTGCCTTACATAGAGCAGACATTTAATAAATATTTGTGAATGTCAGGAAAACCTTAAGACAATATACAGTCTTGTCTTGGGATTAATATGTAACTATTCTATTACCTTATTTCTACACTCCAACATAAGATTGCATAAACTCTCAAGTTGGGTTATCAATGCTTTGAATTTTTCTGTTTGTAGACATGGGCCTCACAAAGGACAAAACCAAATGTCTTACTCAAGTCCAAAATATTACACCTATGATTCCCTTTTATTTACACATTGTACAAAAAGAAATAAATTATCTGGCAACATTTATACTTCAAAAAGTGATACTTGAAAGTATACTATCATCAAGATGGTGAACTAGGAAACACAGGCCTTCTTTCCTCCAGAGACATTGAGTTTAAA